TAGGCTACAGATTGGATGGTGTACCAGTCACTAGGACTAATTGTTTCCATGAATTTTTGGTTTTCTTCATTCTTCTTGGCTCTGGATGAGGAGAGGCTCATTGTTGCCTCTAGATGGCAGCTTGCAAGGTTTTAAGATCCCGGTCGCTACTCTCTATAGTAGGAGGTGGAACAGTGTTTTGTATAGTATGTTATGCCAATTGAGCTTAGTGTCCTCTGGAACTATGGTTCCGAGCCCACAGGTTCAACTACTCGGTCCCTCTGGATAGCTGGCTGTGACCAAGCAGTGACTACAACCTGGCCCCTTGTCAGCTCCATTATACACCTGGGAATTCAGATCATACACCTAAAGTTATAGGACCACTGTCTGCCAACCCTATATATGTTCTTGGGTGCACTCCCCACTTCGTAGACATACCTAATATTTCCGCCTGTCCACCCATCTATCCACCTATATACCCGTGTTTGCCTTCACTGACTACTCCATACTATATGCGCAAAAGGGTTCATCTTTGTTGTCTGTACTTCCCACATACTTCTCTATGTCTTTCTCTTCCTCAATGCCACTATATTGATCACTCACATTTGGTACATTGCCCTTCTCTTCACCCAAATCAAAACTTATCTCTGTCTATCTAACAGTATTCCCTCCCTTCCCTGCCACCCCTGGTAACCAACAAAGAAAATGTCCTTTCATAGATAATCATTTCCTTGACTTTCACAATAACAGACTAATACAATATTTGTCCTTTTGTGATTGACTTATTTCACTCAGCATAATGTCCTCCAAGTTCATCCATGTTATGCAGTGTTTTGCAGATTCTACATTATTCTTTAGGATTGCATAGTATTCCATTATGTGTATGTACCATAGTTTGGATATCAGTTCCTCAGTTGATGGACACCTAGGTTGTTTCCATCTTTTGGCTATTGTAAATAGTGCCATGATGAACATGGGTGTGCATATGTCTGTTCTTGTCATGGCTCTCACTTCTTTAGGATATATACCTAGTAATGGTATAGCTGGGTCAAATACTTCCCTTTGTTTCTGATAATGCCATGTGCACTATAGAGTGGCTTACGGAGTCCATAGGGCTTCCACACCCAACCACCCTTGGAGAGAGATAGGCAGGTTTATCTAGTAATCTGAGTTCTTTCTGTCCACCTCTGTGGCTTGGAGATTGGTGATAGTTAAAAGGAGAAAAAAAACAAAAGCAAAACAAATTCACCATCAAGTTGAAAAGTAGAGTGGAAAACATGACAGGGACTCTCAGAGATGAGGAACTGAACCACTCACTCCCCTTGATCCCATATTTTAGAGCACCCTTCTCCCAATTCTGGCCCTGGAAGCAGATTCTTCTGCAGCTAGAAACATTCTTTCACCAAATCATCTGTCCTCCCTGCAGCCTACTTTCTGTTCCCTAAGAAGTGAAAGTTGAGTTTCTGTTTATGTTGTGTGAATATTGGGGAGTGGGATCATATCTGATGAGGACAGCAGGGAGTATATGGATAGGGGCCATGGTCCCAGGACTTTGGTGGAATCTGCATCGAAGATGGTAAAGGGAAACCCCCACAGTGACCCTGCTGGGACTACCTCTCACTCACTCATCTTTCTCTTTCCCCAGGTCTGTGTGTGATGAGTGCGGCATCCATCTTCACAGTGAGGCATCCAGAGTGGCATCTCAACTCTGACTACTCCTATGGCTTCGCCTACATCCTGGCCTGGGTGGCCTTCCCATTGGCCCTGCTCAGTGGTGTGATCTACGTGATCTTGCGGAAACGTGAATAAGGCACCCAGACAGGCCCTCTGAGGCTCTGAGCATACACAGGGAAGGGAGGAAGGAAACCAGAAATCAGACCAAAAAAAAAAAAAAGCTATCCAAAATACCCAAATTCACACCAAACCAAACCGAAAGTAGTTGAAAGGGGGGTTACTGTTGATTAAAGATGTATATAATATCTATGGTTTATAAAACCTATTTATAACACTTTTTACATATATGTACATAGTATTGTTTGCTTTTTATGTTGACCATCAGCCATGTGTTGAACCTAAAGCATTATCTAAAGAACTTTAAATCCTAACAGTATAATCAAGCTCAGTATTTTTGTTTTTTTCTTTTGTCTGGAAATAAAATGATAACTGCATCTCACCCTTTCCCTTTCATTGGAACGAAAAACCCTCCCTCCTACTTCACCTCATTTAGAAAACCAAAGCGTGGGTCCAAACCCCAATGGCTAAATGCCCTTTTACTGTGGGTGACCCAGTGCATTAAACATGAACATCCTTGCCTGGGCTTCCATGTGTAGTCTTATGCATACATGGGCAAAACTCCCCCAATCCAGAGCCCTTGCCATAAGCACAGCTGTGGCTCTGGGATAATCTCCCTTTTGGGTGGGTGTTTCCACCATGCATCTAAAGGAGGAATCAGTGACAACAAACCTGTGAAATGGTGCTATTTATTTACCATTCCTTATTAGTAATTATCTAAACAACTCACTGGAAAGTCAATTAACAACTTTACAACATAAAGTAGAATGGAGACCTGCATAATGTTGTGTAATATAAATGGTTTTAACTTCCTTTGTATCTAGCTAGGCTGCTATTATTACTATAATGAATAAATATTAAGCAAAGCCTTGATTGCGCCCACATTTTTCATATGGTCGGAGGAGCATCAGGACAAGTCTCTAGACCTCCTGGGACCATGAATTTCCCAGGCTTGGATGGATCTAGACTGTTCTCTGCCTCCAAGGACTGTCTGGCAATGACTTATATTGGCCACCAACTTTAGATGTATATATGGTGCCCTTCAGATGCTAAGACTCCAGACCTTTTTGTTTTTGTTTTGTTGGCTTTGCTTTTTCTGATTTTATACCAACTGTGTGGACTAAGATGCATTAAAATAAACATCAGAGTAACTCACTGGTATCTATTGGATTTTTTGGGGGACTAGGGTGTGTGTGCAAATTGCAGGCCAGAGTGTGGTATTCCAATCTTGGCTGGAGTAAGGTGCTGAGGAACAAAAAGCACAACCTTCTTACAGGATACAGGGAGCACATTGTATCTTCCAGAAGTCTGTACAAATGTCTGTTGGTGGGAAAGGACTTGGGGTTGGAGCTGAAATTGAAATTGAACCTTTAAATGGATTGGAAGGGACCTGAGCATTCATTTAGCTCAACTCTCTCTCATACTCTGTTATGAGGTGACACATGGGGAATACTGATGGAGGTCAGTCATAAGCCCACAGATCCCTTAACTATTAGAAGGATAGGTGGACACATGAAAAGTCTATTCCATTATTCAATGGAAACTTGGTAGAACATTAGTTGGCACCAACTGAGCTCTTAAAACGATCCTTTGGAAGAGAATCAACATGTCATCCAGCTTATCTTCTGGGCTGTGACTTGTTGTTGTTGTTGTTGTTATGTGCCGTCGAGTCGGCCCCGACTCATAGCGACCCCTCCTTGGGTTTCTGAGGCAGTTATCACTCCGGAAGTAGGATTGCCCAACCTTCCTTCCGAGGAGTGGCTGGTGGGTTTGAACCGCCAGCCTTCTGGTTAGCAGTTAAGTGCCTTAGGCACTATGCTACCAGAGCTCCTAATATTTTTGCCCATCAACCTTGAAGATTGGGTGACCTCCTTCCACAGTGATGCCGCCTTGGAAACCAAGTAGGGGTCACTATGAGTCGGATCCAACTCAATGGCAGTGAGTTTTTTGAGCAATATATGAAGCTAATGATACACTCAATGTTCTTTAAGATTTACTGAGCACCAGTATGGGTTGGCACCAGAGATCACAAAGTAATGATGTGATTCTTAACCTCAAAAGGTCACATTTTAGTGAGAGAGACAAGGTAAACAAATAACCATAATATGATAGGGTTAGGAGCATGGACATTAGACACCCTGGGTTTAAATTTGCCCTCTGCCATTTAATGTATAAAGCTCAATGAGTTAGTTAAACTTTCTAAGATTGAGTTTCCTCATCTGGAAGAAAGGGATACAAATTTACAAGGTATTGAGGATTAAAAAGAGATTATGTATGTATGTAAAATGCTAGCACAGTGACTAGTACATAGAGTTGTTGTTAGATGCCATTGAGTTGGCTCTGACTCATAGGGACCCTATGCACAACAGAAAGAAACACTGCCTGGTTGTGCACCATCCTCACAATCCTTGCTATACTTGAGCCCATTGTTACAGCCACTGGGTTGATCCATTTCATTGAGGGTCTTCCCCTCTTTCACTGACCTTCTATTTTACCAGGCATGATATGTTTTTCAGGGAATAGTCCCTTCTGACAACATGACCAAAGTAGGTCAGATGAAGTCTGGCCATTCTCGCTTCCAAAGAGCATTCCAGCTGCACTTCTTTCAGGATGTATTTGTTTGTACTTCTGGTAGTCCATGATATTTTCAGTATTCTTTGCCAACACCATAATTCAAAAACATCAACCCTTCTTCAGTCTTCCTTATTCATTGTCCAGTTTTCACACACACATGAAGTGATTGAAAATACCATGGCTTGGGTTAGGCACATCTTAATCTTCAAAGTGACATGTTTGCTCTCCAACACTTTAAAGAGGTCTTTTGCAGCAGATTTGCCCAGTGCAATATGATGTCTGATGTCTTGACTACTGCAACCAAGGGTGTTGATTGTGGATCCAAGTAAAATGAAATCCCTGACAACTTCAATCTTTTCTCCATTTATCATGATGTTTATTATTGGTTGAGTTGTGAAGATTTTTGTTTTCTTTATGTTGAAGTGAAATCCATACAGAAGACTGTAGTTTTTGATCTTCATCAGTATGTGCTTCAAGTAATTTTCACTTTCAGCACGTAAGGTTGTGTTGACTGCATATCACAGGTCCTTAATGAGTCTTCCTCCAATCCTGATGCTGCATTCTTCATATAGTTCAGCTTCTCAGATTATTTGCTCAGCATACAGATTGCCTAAGTATGATGAAAGGATACAACCCTGTTGCATGTTCTTCCTATGTTAAACCATTCAGTATTCCCTTCCTCTTTTTGAACTACAGCCTCTTGGTTTATGTACAGGTTCCTCATGAGCACAATTAAGTGTTCTGGAATTCCCATTCTTTGCAATGTTATCCATCATTTGCTACTATTCACACAGTCAAATGCCTTTGCATTAGTCAATAAAACACAAGTAAACATTTCTCTGGTATTCTTTGCTTTGGACCAAGATCCATCTGACATCAGTAATAATATCCCTCATTCCATGTTCTCTTCCAAATCCAGCATGAATTTCTGGTAGTTCCCTGTCAATATTTTGTGTAACCATTTTTGCATTATCTTCAGCAAAAATTTTACTTGCCTGTGATATTAATGATATTGTTTGATAATTTCCACATTCTGTTGCATCACCTTTCTCTTGAATGGGCACAAATATCTACCTTGTCCAGTCAGTTGGCCGGGTAGCATACATTTGTTGAAACATCTCAATTGGTATTTCATCAATCCTGGAGCCTTGGTTTTTTTTTTTTTTTTTTTGGCCAGTTCCTTCAGTGCAGCTTGGACTTCTTCCTTCAATAACATTGATTCTTGATCATATGCCACTTCCTGAAATAGTTAAATATTGGCCAATTCTTTTTGGTATGGTGACTCTGTGTATTCCTTCCATCTTCTTTTGATGCTTCCTGCTTTCCCCATAGAATACTTCAAAATTGTGACTCAAGGCTTGAATTTTTTCTTCAGTTCTTTCAGCTTGAGAAACGCTGAATGTGTTCTTCCTTTTTGCTTTTCTAACTCCAGGTCTTTGCACGTTTAATTATAATACTTGACTTTGTCTTCTAGAGCTGCTCTTTGAAATCTTCTGTTCAGCTCTTTTATTCATCATTTCTTCCTTTTGCTTTAGCTACTCTCTGTTCAAGATCAAGTTTTAGAGTCTCGTCTGACATCCATTTTGGTCTTTTCTTCTTTTTCGGTATTTTTAATGACCATTTTCTTTCTTCTTGTATGATGTTCTTGATGTCATCCCACAGCTCATCACATTTTTGGTCATTGCTGTTCAATGTGTCAGATCTATTCAGATAGTCTCTAAATTCAGGTGGAATATAATCAAGGTCAAATTTTTGCTTTTGTGGACTTGTTTTAATTTTCTTCAGCTTCAACTTAAATTTGCATAGGAACGATTGATGATCTGTTCCACAGTCAGCTGTTGGCCTTGTTTTGACTAAAGATACTGAATTTATCCATTGCCTCTTTCTGGAGATGTAGTTGATCTGATTTCTGAGTATTCCACCTGGCAAGGTCCACATGTATAGCCACCATTTTTGTTTTTGAAAAAGGTAATGAATAATTTGCAATGAATAAGTTGTTGGTCTTGCAAAATTCTATTATGCAATCTATGGCATCATTTCTATCACCCTGGTGGTATTTCCCAACTACTGATGGTTCTTTGTTTCCAACTTTTGCATTCCAATCACCAGTAATTATGAATACATCTTGATTGGATATTTGATCAATTCCAGATTGCAGAAGTTGGTAAAAATCTTCAATTTCTTCATCTTTGGTGGTTAGTGTGTAAGTTTGAATAATAGTAGTATTGACTGTTCTTCCTGGTGGTGTGGTGCGTGAGGCATTTGACTGCTAACCAGAAGGCTGGTGGGTCAAACCCACCAGGCACTCTTCAGAAGGAAGATTGGACAATATTTGCAGATGTTTCTTTCCATTTTGAGCCATGCTCCATTAACAAATGAAAGTCCTGAAAACTTCACTCCATCCACATCATTAAGGTCAACTCTACTTTGAGGAGACAGCTCTT